ACATGTGCATGTAAGCATGTACACATGTATGTGCAGGCATGTCCATGCACTCAGATGGACTGAAAGCCTTCATGCTAATTTAAGCTTGAATAGATTAAGAATTCATTGAGGTGTATGTGTGTGTGTGTGTGTGTGTGTGTGTGTGTGTGTGGTCCAGAATGATGATTCACAACTTTAAGACCTCTCTCAGCCAGTGCATATTCACTGATTCCTCTGTGACTTGTAGCCCTAGAGAGTGACCTGGGGGAACTGAGAAGTTCATCCACTTGCCCAGCGTCACATAGCTCCTATGTATCAGAGGCAAGATATGAACCCAGACCTTTACAGATCCCAGGCCAGCCCTCTATCCATCATATGATGTTCCTTTTTATAAAAAAAAAATTTATTTTCACCAATTAGATGTAAAAACAAATTTTAATATCTGTTGGATTTATTTTAAAGCTTTGAGTTCCAAATTCTATCCTTCCCTCCCTCGCCCTCCCTGAGATGTTAAGCAATCTGATATAGGTTATATATGCTCAATCATGTAAAGCATTTCCATATTAGTCATTTTGTGGAAGAAAACTCAAAAAAGAAAGGAAGAAAGAAAGAGGGAGAGAGAGGGAGAGAGAGAGAGAAAGAAAAGGAAAGAGAGAGAGAAAGAAAGAAAGAAAGAAAGAGAGAGAGAGAAAGAAAGAAAGAAAGAAAAGAAAGAGAGAGAGAGAGAAAGAAAGAAAGAAAGAAAGAAAGAAAGAAGAAAGAAAGAAAGAAAGAAAGAAAGAAAGAAAGAAAGAAAGAAAGAAAGAAAGAAAGAAAGAAAGAAAGAAAGAAAGAAAAGAAAGAAAAGAAAAGAAAGAAAGGAAAAATGCTTCAGTCAGTTTTCAGATGCCATCAGCTCTTTCTCTGGAGACAGGCAGCATTTTTCACCATGAGTCCTCTGGGATTGTCTTGGATCATTGCATTCATGCTCCTTTCTTCAGACACATACACAAAGGTGTGAAACCTTCCCTGTTCTTTTCATTTTGGCCCCTGTAGTCATTTCACAGGCTGTCCTCCTGCTTCTGTGGCTTTGCTATGCACGGTCATGCTGATCTCTCTCAGCCAGTATTTGCTGTTTCTTATAGCCCAATGAAACAGCAATGGATGCGCAACCCTTTTGTCTTTAGTTCTTTGCTCCCACAAAAAAATAAATGCTGCTCTGAATATTTCTTCCTGTATCTGGGACCTCTCTTTCCTGCTCTAGTCTTAGGATCACAGATTGAGAGCAGGAAGGGACCCTCAAGGCCATGTAACTGACCTCCTTCATTTGAAAGGTTCTGAAAAAGAGAGATTATTGGAGGGAGAGATACTGGCGGCATCCATGGGATGGCAAAATCTTAAACTGTTCCAATGGAGAGCCTGGACATGGATTCATGGAAGCTTAGAAGGAGAGGGCCACAAATGGGGTGGTGGTGATGAGGACAATGAAAAGGAGGTGGGAAGGCATGGAAACCTAACTGCCCACTTCATTTTTTCCAAGGTAGACCCTTATTCTGCAGTGGAAAGAAGGATCTCTCTACTTATCTGTCTGTGACATTAAAAAGTGTTAATTGAATATACATAAGTGTATGTGTGAAGAAAGGAGCATGGCATGATGGGTAGAGCATTGGCCTGGGATCTGGAAAGCTCTCTCTCTCTCTCTCTCTCTCTCTCTCTCTCTCTCTCTCTCTCTCTCTCTCTCTCTCTCTCTCTCTCTCTCTCTCTCTTTTACTCTCTCCCTTTCCCTTCCTATCTGAAGAAATGACTGTGATATAGAAACAGACATTATGAAACATCTAAAATGATAATAAGAAAAAAATTATGTTACTTAAAAAATGAACAAGTAGGTTCCCTGAAAAACAATGAAGACATGGCTTGGGGGGGTTGGCCTTGAGTTTAATATGTCATTCAGTGGATTGGGGAGGGCAGGGAGGGCTAATAGGGCAGCAAGAACCCTTGCCCGAAGACTTCCTCTTTACTCACATGCCTAGAAGAGGGAGCCATTAGGGTAAATGAACCGAGTTCAGGGGATTAGGGCTATTAGACCCAACACCTGATGCTAATGTCAGGAGGTAATCTAGACAGTTAAACAGGCGACCACCTGGGAAGCCGGACTGCCTGAGGTAAAGGGAGATTGGCAGGGGATGGAAGAATGATCTGTACAAGCCCATCTTTGGGAAGAGACTGTGATGAGAGAGAGAGAGAGAGAGAGAGAGAGGGAGAGAGAGAGAGAGAGAGAGAGAGAGAGAGAGAGAGAGAGAGAGAGAGAGAGAGAGAGAGAGAGAGAGAGAGAGAGAGAGGAGAGAGAGAGAGAGAGAGAAAGCATAGGAAATGACAGGGCTGGGGAGCAGCAAGGGGGGAAATGAGGCCCTGAGCCAGCTTCGAGGGAATTGAAATGTCCATCTGCCTGCCAAGGCCCAAGAGTTCTCCAGAGGAGGCTTCTGGAAGGAGGACGAGGCCAAGCCCTTCAAGCTGGGGTGTCCTTTGGTCTCACTGAGGAGCTGCTCCCTTCCTCTTAGGACAGATCAAAGACAACTTCTCTAGAGGCTTCCAGTCTTGTCTTGTTTTTTAATGAGAAAAAAAAAACATTTAGTGCCAACTTCTCTATTTCATAAGCATCTCTGCCCTCAATAAACCGAATCACAGCCTTTCTCCCTGACAGCAGCCTCCTCTCTGGAACTTGGGTGCTTCACTCTCACAAAACAGTGGGATGCCCTTGGAGCTGGGGTGCTAGAAAGAGGGGCCAAGGCAGGGCTGGAGCAGGACCAGCAGTGGCAGGGGAGGGAAAGTGGAGTTAGATGCTCCCAGGGTAGAGAAGTGCCAAAGACTCCAACATCCTCCAGACTGCTCTTTAGATCATAGACTCAGAGCCTGAAGAAATGCCCGAGTCTGTCTGTGGAATTTGAGGCACCGAGAGGTTCAAAATTGTCAACTCCTTAAGAACAAGGTGAACTGTCTCTTTTCCCCTAATGCATAGCACCTTGTGGTTTGTCCTTCATTCCTGAAGGGGACCATGACATCAGGAAGGTGATGCCAGGTCATGCAAGTGAATTGGATTTAAGTGAGGGAGGGCTGTGGAAGGTCACCAGCCTCACTTTTTACTCTGGAGCCATCGGATCCAGTGGCCAGAGATAAATCTGGCTGCCTGGAGATGCCCTGACACAGTGGGAGACCTTGGCCTATTTAAGCTGAGGTCTTCAACAGGTCTCAGTTTGTCTGAGGCAACACCCATTCAGTGATTAAGGCTAGGTAAGAAATGAGGCAGAGAATGGCCTCTTTTACCCAGTCAAAAATGAAATGAAATGAAATCAAATCAATCTGGGAGGGGAATACTCTGGGGTTACTGGCCAAAACAAAACCAATGGCTACTTAGGCTCACTCTAAGCCATAAGGGCAGGTAGGTGGAGCAGCGAATAGAATCAAGAAGATCTGAGTTCAAATTCAGCCTTAGACACGTAATAGTTGTGTGACCCTGGGCAAATCAAGTAACTTCTGTTTACTTCAATTTTCTCATCTGTAAAGTAGGGTTAATAATCTTTCCAGCACCTCACCTCAGTAGGATTATCATGAGGCTCAAATGCACTACTGTACTATAAAACTCTTGGGATATTTTAAAGCTCTCTGCGTTAGCTGCCATTGTTTTCCTAAGACTGGCTGCTTGGTACTGCCTGTGTTTGCCTGGCGATCACTGACTCCAGGGCTCCCGGAGGATTGTCTGAAAATCTGTTCAGCAGGCTGGAATTTTCAGTTGTGCCTGAGGGACAGGCTGGGCTCAGCAAAGGGGGAAGGGGCGTCTCCCCAGGGCTCGGGATGCAGAAGGATGAAAAAATACTTCCTACTTAGGAGCGCAAGGACAAGCAGCTGATGCAGTGTTCGGCGTCCCTCCTTCCTGCAGCGTTATCTGTCTGTGGGTTCCATGGAGAGGCACTATGGGGAGCATCCTTCATTGTACAGGGAGTAAAAGGGGTGTTGGCTTCGGAGTCAGAGCGCCCGGCTTCACATCCTGTCTATGACATTCGCTGCCTCAGTTTTCTCATCTGCAAACTAAACAACCACGCTGGCCAGTCTTGCTCCTGAATAATGGAACCTGCCCCGGTCATCTCAGCAGGCGGGGGGAGAGTCTCTGGGGGATGGGCTGGCCCAGAAGACCCAGGCAGCCCTTTCAACTCTGCCTCTGTGACCTTAAGGAGGAACAAAGAGGCAAATTCAGGCCTGCTGGGAGGACAACTAATCACTGAGCATTTATTAAATGCCTATTGTGTGCCATACAAAACTAGGCAAAAGACCGTCCCTGCCCTGAAGGAGCTTACAATCTAATGGGGAAGGCAAGGGAACAAATATGCCCAAGCAAGGTGTAAACTGGAGACACAGAAAACAATGAACGGAGGGCAGGAAATCAGCTTACCCAGGCTTCTCGAGCTGCTTCTTACAGTGCTCACCTTACGCAGTCTTAGTAAAATTCCACAGTAAAATTCTACAGTAAAACTCCACAGTAAATTCTATAAAATCATGACTTGATGGGATGCTTTGTTGACTGTTCAGACCAGAAAGTGATGGAGAAAACGAGAATCATGCAGATTAAACTTGAAAATGTCACAGATTCTTTTATTTTCCTTCAGAGAATTAATTAGTAGACAATAATCAGACCTACCCAAGCCCCGCACTGGGCTGCTCCTCTCTCCCAGGAGGCCTTCAAGTGGAGACTAGATGGCTTCTTGTCAAGACAAGTCAACAAACGCTTGCTAAACACCTCCTATGTGCCAGGCACTGTGCTAAACAGGGGAAGAAGGAGGAGGAGCTGCTGGCCAAGAACTATGTTTTGTTGGGCTCTGGTCATGTCTGACTTTTCACGACCCCATTTGGAGTTTACTTGGCAATGCTACTGGAGTGGTTTGCTATTTCCTTCTCCAGCTTATTTGACATATGAGGAAACTGAGGCAAACAGGGTGAAGTGACATGCCCAGGATCATTCAGCTAGGAAGTGTCTGAGGAGAAATTTGAACTCAGGTCTTTCTGACTCCAGGCCCAGGTCTTTACCCACTGAGCCACCCAGCTGCCTAAGAACCATGTACAAAACAAGAGAGCGTATTAGTTGGAGGTGATCTTGGAGAGAAGGCATCAGCAGGAAGGGGGACCTGGGAAGGCCCCGGGCCTGTTGTAATAGGCATTCCTTTCTTGCCCGGGGGACCAGAAAGCTCTGAGGCCCCTTCTGGCTCTCCAAGCTATGATTCCAAGCTATTAAGTCACCACCTCTTGGTCTGTTTGTTTTCTGACAAAAAGAAATTGCATGTAAACCTTTCTCTAGACCAGGCCTTCAGCTAGAAAAGTTCAGCTGGACTTTCCAGTACAAGGTTACTTGCATCTCAAGACAAAAAAAGCAACATCTTGTTCTTGATTTTTTCTTCAAACTTTGGAGCTGTGGGTGGATCCGGGAAGGCTCCATGTTTCTGTTTGTCCCCCACACGGGTCCTCCCTCGATTCATGGAAGTCAATGCTTGCTTGGCAGCGACAGCCCCAGCACCTCTGAGGACCAGATTCTCTGCCCTGTCCTGGATGCTGCTGAGCCTCCGGGAGAGAATCAAAAATCTTGGACAGCACTATGAATCTTTCCTCCTTTTCATTCTTATTTTCCATCAGACTTTCCAACTGCCTCCAATGTTATTTTAGGTCCTAAGTGATTGTGTCAACAAAGGGGCCATAGTTACTGGGCAAAAGTGGTTTATGGTTTCGCACAGTTAGCTCTTCACACATCTCACCTTTCCTGGCTCTTCACACTTCTCACCTTTCCTGGCCCATGACAGCTGCATTAGTTCTGGTGTTGGTGCCTGCTGGACCAAAGGGTGGGGCCAACCACCACTGTCTTCCTGAATCTGAGCCAGTTTTGTTTTGTTTTCTAACTTGTATTCTTACTTCTAAACCTTTGTTTTTCTGTAACTGGAACACAACAAGGGCCATTGGTAACAAGCTGTGTTCTTGATATGGCTTTAGTTGACAGCTGACTTAAGTCTTTCCCCATGGAATGCGACCCCTTACAGGAGGGGCCCATCAGGGCCTTCGTTAGTCTAGAACCTGGCCGGTAATTCTACTTCTGTGGCCAAAATCAGTTCATCCTCTTCTGAATTTAGCCTCTCCTGGAAAATAAAAATGTCAGGAGAAAAGTGTTATGCATTGAGATTTCTTTGGTTAATAATTGTACTAAGTGTGTGGCCTCAGGAACATCACTGACATGCTCAGGGCCTCAGAGCCCTCATCTGTAAAAGTGGGGGGCCTTGAAGGTCCATTCTCTATATTTGACTTTGTTAGTACTTGGGGGGTGATGATTTTAGGCACAGGATTGTCCAGGTTTATAGAATTTCGAATGAGAAGGAACCTTGGAAAGTAGCTCATCTTGAAAAGCATCTCAGTGAAGACCAGGGGAGTAGAGAGAGCTGTCCAAAGGCCACCAAGTGAGGTGGTCACCAACATGAGCAAGGTTCATGCACAATCACTGAGACCCAGGGCACTTCACCCTCTCCCTCGACGTCTCTCTATACAAGGAATGGAAGTGTCTCAGTGTAGTCATTCCCTCCAGGGGCCTAGATGTCTACACATCTGGCTGGGTTACTCTTGCCTGCATCCTCTCCCTTCTCCACAGTGATATCAGCCAACAAGATGGTGGGCTCACTAGTCTTTTAAATTTGCCTGGAAGACAAGAGCACCCAGAAGTCATTGCGGCTTAACCCTCAGCTTAGCAGGGCATGGTTTTGGTAGGCTTTGTCCAGACCTGTGATTTCCCCATTGCATGGAACCAACTCCCCAGCATAGAAACTCAGCTGTGCTGTAGAGCATTGGCCGGCCATGGGTTCAGTGACCTGCGCAGGGTCACACGGCCAGCATGATGTCAGAGACAGGACTTGAGCCCCCAGTCTTCCTGACTACTCTGTGCTGCCTCTCACAAAATCTCACAAACTAAGAAATTATAACTTGGCCCACCGCTCACAGCCTGTGCATGACAAAACCAGCATGCTCTAAGGAAGCTCGCCTTAAATGAAAAAAAGGACATTGGGGGAGATGCCTGGGCTCCAATGTAGCATTTGCCTCAGAAAGCAAAGTGGGGACCCAGTCCACACGAGGGGATCGTGAAGTTACAAAGTCTCCACTAATCAATGACAAATTTCCTACTTGTTGCTACAATTACAAAGATAATAGTCCCTTTATGTCAGGGCCTGTGCTGGTGCAGCTGGAGGGTAGCTTTGAAATCCAGAATTTCAGGGAACAGAAATTAATAGGAGGTCATTTCTACCACAGAAATTTTCGGGGCCCATCCTCTCTAATCATCATTAAAAACTAAATCTGCAGGAGAAGAGGCACTTTCCTGATTGTCAAGTGGAAGCCATTATTCATTTGATGAAGCTCTTGGCACCGGGCCATTGATTCTGCGTTCAGCCTGCTGCTCTCTCTCCTTCATCTCAAGCAATCAAGGTTGTTTCTGCCTGCCAGGAGCTATTTATAGAGTAAGCAAAAAAAAATTAGCACACTAAAAAAAAAAAAATCAAAGCTGATATGTTCTCCTGCTTGAAAAACAGCTTCCAAACTTTGTAAGTAAAGATCAGATTTTCTGGTCACCAGCCTTTGTCCTGCGTCTGCCTGCCTCTTTCTCAGCAAAGGCTGGGGAGGCCACGTGGGGCCATCTGTACCCTTCCCCAACAGCAAGCAGTGGGCTTGGCAAGGGCCGCGTCTTTGGGGATGATGCCTCTGCTTTTCTTGGATTGCCACGATGCTGGACAATGGCCACAGGGACATCGAGTGCAGGGGGCGGGGTGGGGGTTATATCCTCATGCTTCTCCAATTTCTTCAGTGGAAAAGGGACTCCCAAATTTTTATCTTTGGGTTTTTTTTAAAAGAAGCCAAGATAAACCCTCCACTTCTCCTCATTCCCTTACCCCTTAAAAGAGAAAATCTATGCAGCAAAAAAGGCAAGATGTAGGGCTCAGAAAAGGCCAGAGGAGGGGAGGGGCTGATCATTAAAAGTTAGTTCACACTGAATACTTCACAGGAGATCATGTGGGCCAAACAGTAATCTTTCAGACATTTGTTTATTCAACAGCATTTATTTAAGACCTACTATGCTTAAGGCATCATGTTAGGCATTGGGAAAAAAACCAAAACAAAATGAAAAACATTTGTCTTGCTCTGCAAGGAACCCTGTACAAGTCACTTAATTTCTCTGAGCCTCAGTTTCCTCACCTGTAAAATGGGGGGGGTTAAAAATAACATTTATTTTATGGGGTTAGTAAGAGAATCAAATGTTATAATGTATGTAGAGTATTTTGCAAACCTTAAAGTACCATATAAAGGTGAGTTGTTGTTGTTATTATTATTATTATTATTATTATTATTATTATTATTGCTGTCATCATCATCATCATCATCATCATTATAGTTTACTGAGAAAGATGTTACATTAATATGGAAATTGGACATTCACAAGCAATCTTTGAATTATAGGCATCCTTTTGTGTCTTGTCTCTACTATTTAAGAGAGATCGGTATTACCTTTATGGAACTTGAACCATTCTCCAAATGTCTTCATTTCTCAGAGTAGGAACACTGTCCCAAGACAGAAGCCATTCCAGATCTTGTCTTTGCTTGATCCCCAGAAGTAGGAAACACATAAAAAAGTTTCCTATTCTAAAAAGATACTGGATGTTGAAAGTCCTTCTGACTGCTCCCACCTGCCACTGAATGCTTGACCTGAAAGATTTTGATGACTTAAAGGAGCCAGATTTGTAGGGAAAATCTAGCTTTGAAAAATGCAGAAAAACATCCCGACTTACCATGGCCAAGTATTCCCCAATGCCCAGTTCAGGCGTTTTTGTCATGTGTCTTATCAAACCTTGATTCTTCAAACATACGGCAATTTGTTTTTAAGAAAGCAAATGCTGGTTTGCAATAGTGACTACCATTAAGGAAAGTTCATCTGTCCTATAAAATTGGAAAAGGTGAGATGGCAGTAGCAGCTTAATCAAGAGTTTAATGGGCATGAAGGCTTTTGTCTTCAGAGAAAGTCCCAGTGGAGAGTCAGAGGACCTTGCATTTACAGCTGAAATTGATGGACCTTTGAGGTTGCTTATTCTGACATCCTCATTTTACAGATGAGGAAACTGAGGTCTAGAAAGGTAAAGTAAGTTCCAGTATTCTCTTAAGCTTTTAGACAGAGCAGGTGGGTGGGGAAGGGGGAGCAGGTGAGAGGAGTTTGGTGACTCAGTTCAGGTGCAGGTGATTCAAGGAAGACCCACACTGGAAGATTCCAAAAATCTTTGGGGCCATTTTCTACACGTTGAAGTTCAGTAGCATCATTTTCGTGATCCACCTGGACACTCATAAAAGCATTTTCTAGATTTAATGTAAGGCAGCACATTTATTAAGCACCTCCTATGTCCCAAGCTTCATGGTAGGCACTGGGGCTACAAAAACAAAAGAAGAGGTTTTAGTCTCAAGGGACTTCTGTTCTAACTGGGGATAAAATATGTGCATTGATGATGACAACGATGATGACAATAATGCACCAAACATGAAAAAGGAAAGAATAAAGTCAGGATCTCTAGTGGTCCCAGGACCATCCCCGTCTGAGCCCCACAGAAAAAGAGGAAAACAAGGTGATGTCCACACTGAACACAAACAGCATTGTTCTAACAATGTGAAGCTCACAAAGTACACACAAAGCAATTTCAAGAGGTAGAGAGAACTAATATCCCAGGGCAGGGACAATAAGGATGAAAACAAGCATTTGTTAAACACCTGCTGTATGCCAGGCACTGTGCTACAGTACACATTTACAAATGCTTTCTCATTTAATCATCACAATGACTCTGGGATGTAGGTGCTATTATTATCGTCCTCATTCTACAGAAGAGGAAACTGAGACAAATAGAGGTTAAATGACATTTAAGGACAGCTGGGAAGTGTCTCAGGCTGGATTTAAACTCAAGCAGCCTGAGGCTGAGGATTACACAATTTTTTGCCCATAAGCACCCTGTTTATGTAGTTAAATTCGAGAGAGAAAGAAAAACTAAACCTGGCATCCACCCTGTGTTTAAAACCAACTTCTCTGTTGGGGAATGCAGCACTGGCTTTTGATTCCCCACTCCACCAACCCCTTGGATAGATGAGCTCAGTGTAGAGCTTCGCCTCCTAGCACGAACTCAGGGTGGGGACTTACCAGTAAACACTTTGGCATTTTGATCATGAAATAGTTTGTGAATCAAGGCTAGACCAGGGTATCGATAATTGTCCATCTAGAAGATACACACACACACACACACACACACACACACACACACACACACACACACACAATCACTGGAATATCACATGTGCCGAGATGACATTTATCCACTTTGGTTTTCCCCCTGGCTGCCATGCCAAACCCCGGACACCAAAATGACTGAGGTCGGGGAATAAATACCCATCATTAACTTTTCAGTGGTTTAATAATTGTGCCTCTTCCTGAGGATGGGATTAAACCACACGCAACAGCAAAACTCAGGCAAGGGAAGTGTCTGAGCATCAGAGTAAGGAGAGAGTAAAGAGAGAAAGCAGAATAGGGAAAGAGGGAAGAGAAAAAGGAGAGAAAGAAGAGTAAGAACAGAGGACAGAGAGAAGAGAAAGAGAAAATAAAGCATCCGAAAGGGCTTCCAGGTGGAGAAAGATCAGACTTGCTCTGGGTGGCCCCAAAGATGGGGGGAATCTGTGAAGAGGAAAAGTTAAGCTTGCTATGAAGAAAAACTTCTGAACAAGAATGTCTCCCCCAAAGTGGAATGGTCAGCCTTGTGAAATATTGGCTGCTTCCTCACTGAAAGGATTCAACTGGGTGATCCCTTGTAATTTAGATTATAATTCCCTTCTGGGTGTGGCTTGTACTAGATGGTCAATCAGTTGGCAAAGAAATATTGATTAAGTGCCTACTATGTTCCAGGCACTGTGCTAAGTGCTTGGGATTTGAAGATGAAAAAGAAAGACAGCCCCTGCCTTCAAGGAGCTTACAATGGAGCAAGATGGCACACAAAGGGAAGCTGGAAAGCTGGGTTAGGGAATGGAAACAAATGGCCCTAGGAGCTTGATGCAGTTAGCTCCAAAAGAATGCAGCTAGGGGAAATGAAGAGATGGCTGGCCCAGGAAGCCCTCTTTTACTGGGAGCTTTGGAAAGAGATCTTAACTCCACCTTCCCAATCAGAGGCAGAGGTTGTTGGGGAAATTGGTAGTACCAAGGTGATGCAATTTTCCAGGATGTTGTTTGTGACGATGAGCTTTCCTGGTGCCATGGTGGGCTCCATTTTAAAAGAGGGCAGCTGGTGGGAACCAGTGCTCACTGCGGTCCCTTGAAGCTCTGAGATTCTGTGCCTCTAAAAATGCAAAGTATATTTGGTGTCGTGCATTGCACGTAGTAAGTCCTTAATAAGTGTTTGGTAAGCTGAACATGGGCCCAAAAAGGGATACATGTAATGACAAAAAGTGAAATAGATTATTGAAATTGCAAACGAAAAACTTTTGCATAAACAAAATGAATACCAGTAGGATATAAAGTGGATTGGAAAGGAATATTTGTATTGAGTGTCTTTAACAAGGATGTAATATCCAAGTGTCTAATAAATATTCTCTCTCTCTCTCTCTCTCTCTCTCTCTCTCTCTCTCTCTCTCTCTGTCTCTCTCTCTGTCTCTGTCTCTCTCTCTGTTCTGACTGTATCTCTATCTCTCTTTATCTCCACTTCCTGGCCTCTGTACCTTCTTTCAACTCTCAGACAAAATCCCACCTTCTACAAGGAGCCGTTCCCAGCCTTCCAAAATGTTTGTGCCTCCTTCTGACTTTATCTCCCATTTGTCCCATACTCATCTTGTTTACCCACCGCTGTTTTTGCCTTTCTTTGTATCCCCAGGCACATAGTAGGTGCTTAATAAGTGCTTGTTGACGGACTGACACCATGCTAACTCTCTTGGGAAATGTAGGTAAGTAAGAAATGTTCAAACAAAGGATTTTGACATGATAATTTTTGAACCTTGTTTGTCTCCCGTGGGGCAGACACGTGTGACATCAGTGCCAAATAGAGATGACTTAATCTATCATTTCAGAAGTAGGGTCTGGAGGACAGGACCTTGAGTAGTGGGTGAACAGCAAAGATGCTGAGGAAAGAGAGCAGAGCCCACATGCGACTTCAGCTGTCGGGATGAAGTGACTCCTCCCTTCTCAACCGAAACAAAAACTAGAAACAGCTGGAAAAAACCCGGGTTAGAAGTGTGTTTGAAGCCACTGGCTTCTGCTTCTCCCTGCCTGTCTGGGCAGTCAGCTCCTCCCATCTTGGGCTCCATTTAGCGCCTGCACAGGGAGCAGCAGACAGGATGCTCACCCAGATAAACCTCAGGTCCCTGCACACCCTCAGTGGGATGCTCCAGCCTGGCCTGGGGGTGGGGGTAGGTGTCTTTATGTGTTCCTTAGAACTGGGGGAATGGGTGGCTCTTCCATCCCCTTTGCTCACTTCATCACTGCCTCTTGGAGGTTTGCTGGGAGTCAGCCACATAGGAGCCCTGAGCCAAAGAAACCGCTGCCTTGGGGTCAGGCCTCCAGGACCAGACCCAGGCCCTGCGAGCTCAGGCCTGGCCCTGGGCTGTGGGTTCCCATGTTAAGGGGTCCCAAAGGCTGAACCTTACCAATGAGGCAAATGAGTCATCCTATGCCAGTCAGCTCTTTGGGGCTCACCGTGCTGGCATGGCTGACATGCTCTGGCTTGTGTCAGGCCAAACAGACCACCGACTATAGTTCTGCAGATCTGTAAAGAAGGGCAGAAAGGCTGACGTGAGTCCAGGATCACGGGGTCATAGATTTAGACCTGGGTAGAGGGCTGGGCCTGGCATCAGGAAGGCGGCCCTATGAACCCAGGCAAGTCATGAAACTGCCTGCCTCAGTTTCCTCAGCTGTAAAATGGGGAGTATAGCAGCACCCACCTACCAGGGTAGTTGTGAGAATCAAATGAGATGTTTGTAAAGTCCTTAACACAGTTCTGGGTACACAGTAGGTGCTTAATAAGTGATTGTTCCCTACCCTTCCCTCCCCAAACTACCTTGTACTTATTCTGATCATAATTATCTATGGACATGACATCTCACCGATAGAATGGGACCTCCTTGAAGGCAGGGATCCCTTCATCCTTCTCTTTAGGGGCGAGGCTCCCCCAGGACTGGTCTGTGCACCTAGGTCCAGATGCATGAAGGAACCCTTCACTGAGAGGAGCTAGCCAAGACCCCCAGGCCCCCAGACCCAGCAGCAGTTCTTCTTATTCCAGTTGGCTTGGCTCACCTGCTTTTCTCTCTCTCTTTTTAATTTTTTTGTTACACAGACAGCAGAAAACTGTATCTGCAAAATTAGGGTTATATTAAATTAAAGATATCAATTGTTTGTTTTGTTTTTTTAATAGGAATTTGGGTCTTTTGACTTCTAATCCAGGGCTGTTTCCACTGCACCACACTGCCTTTCACAAAAAATCATGGCATCGATGATTTAGAGCAAGATGAGCCCTCGGAGTTCAGCTGGTCCATCCTGAGATTACAGGTGAGGAAACTGAGGAACACACAGACAAAAATAATCTGCCCCACATCACGAAGGTGGGAAGTGGTGGAGTCCAGATGGGAATCCCTTGAAAGACCTTTGGACCTCTAACTCCGAATCAATCAATGTATTTTAATGGCATTTATTAAGCACCTACTATGTGCCAGACATTAAGCTAAATGTTGGGGATACAGAGGGGGAAAACGTCCCAGGAAGCTTCCATTCTAGGGGGTGCCAACACGCACATAAGTAGACCTTACAAAATATAAGTGTGCCTCTGCAGCCACACAAGATGCTCAGCTCGAATCCCAGCTTCTGCAGGTCTCTACCAGAACCCTCCTGAGTGCCCACCCTCTGAGCTGTCTTCCGCTCTGTACTGCTTATGTGTCTACATCGCTGTCTTCATGGTGCCCCGCCCCTCCCAGAAGGGGAGCCCCTCACGGGCAGGGGCCATGCTGTTGGGCCACACTAAGCCAGCATCTGGCACACAGTCGGCACCAAAAACGTGCTTGTTCCTCAGCACACACAGAGTAGACTGGAGGAGTCTCAGAGAGAGAAAGGTGCTGCCGGCTGCCAGAGCTGGGGCCCAGATCGTCCCCTTGCATTGCCTCTTTCTAAGGGGCTGTTTTGTTTCTTGGGCTACTTTTTGAATTCCTGTTTCTTTGTTGTGTTTTGGTTTCCCTTACCTGCTGCCGTGCCTTGGGCCAATCTGAAGAAGACGGGAGCTATTCATGTCTCAGAAAAGGCAATTTGAGGCTGGTCACAGATGGAAGCAGAAGAAAAAGGGAAAGAAAAAAAAAGCAAGGACAGACCGAGTGAGGCCTGGAGAAAGCCGGAATTCGACAGCATCCTCTTCCTGCGAGCTCGACCGCGTCCGCCAGGCCCCACATGAAAAGCCAGGCCGGGCTGATGAAGACCAGCTTCCTGGACGAGGCAATTAGGCTCCTCTCTTCCAGAGACAGACTCAGAAATCCCAGCGTGACCTTTGCCTGAGTCTCCATGAATGGGCCTCTGGAAGACTTCCACCGGAGAGTAATCCTAGCTGGACTGGAACAATCCTGCAGCAATTAGACTGATTATGAATTTAGGGCTGAGGAAGGGGGGCAGGGAGAAGGGCTGCTCTGTGAGCGAGGCCCACGTGGCATTACCTGCAGATTCACAGTCAGACAAAACATCCCCAGAGGTCTGGTGTGTAAAAGCTGGGCTACTCATGCAAAGAAAGCAAGCATCCCTGATCATACATACGTACCTGCACATGTATGTGTGTATGCATGTATGCATGTATGTGTATGTGTATGCATGCGTCCATGCCTATATGTACACATACACACATTTCTTATTTGTGCATGCACACATCCCTGTGTCTATAGTGGATGGGTGTTCTTTTATGTATGTGTATAACTCTATAAGCATATATGTATGTGTCTATGTGTGTATATATATGTATGTATGTATATACATACGTGGGTATACACACACACACGCACAAAAGAGTTCTGTCAAGGGATCATACGATACTCCATTTAGAACTGGAAGACGGTCGTTATCTAAAAAACAAGAAAGGGAATAAGTGACCTTATTAGGTCCCCTTCCAAATACCCTGCAGCCAAAATGTGTTAGGTAAAGAAACAGAAGAGCAATGTCCCCAGTGGAACTGGACTGAATCACATTTACAAATCCTGGCAGCTCCCAAAGACAAGGCTTGGAGCTGAATCGCCAAGCACAAAGGGTCAGTGAGAACAGGAATACCCGCGGGACAGACGCAGCCAGAAGTGGTTGGTTTGGTCACAGACTTAGAGCTGGGAAGGTCATTCGAGGTTGTCTGATCTGGCCCCTCCTTTTGCAGATGAGGAAATTGAGGCCCAGAGAGGTTGTGACTTGCCCAAGGTCACCCAGGCTGTGACCGGGCACTTGAACAAAGGTCCTTGGTCTTCATGGTTATTAACTGTGGCAGGCAAATAGCTGTCCAGACAGCTCGTGACTTTTTTTTCCGAGTCATGTCCTCTGGGGGTCAGTCAGGGTCTGTGCTTGGGAAAGCAGAGCTCAGCAGCCAGAGATTCCCCACCCATGCGCAGGGCAGTTCAGAAACCTTTAGCCACATCCTACCCTGCCTCATTATCACCACTACAAATACTTTGCCAAAATCTCCACCAACAGAATGACTGGGTAGGTTTCTGGTACAGCGGAAAGAGAGCTCAATTTGGAACTAATCAAAGTAGTTGGGTTTGAATTTGGCCTCTGCTTCCTCTTCCTGTGTGACCTTAGGAAAGTCATACCCCAGATGAGGAGCCTAAATGAGGAGATAATATGTACATATACATATATGTGTATGTCTGTAAGTATGCATATATCTGCAGTGTATATTTAAATATATGAATAAATTAGATCCACAGCACATGTCTAAATATTCACAGAAGCACATATAGGCATGTTCAAAGCCACATATCCATATAGATCCACATACACACCCACAACATGGGCACATACACATACATATAGCTATATGTATGTGTGTGGGCATGCAAAGCACATCTATGTATATACACATGTATATCAATATGTGCATCTACATGAAAGTGGGGATTAGTTCATTCTATTTGTATGCTCACATCTAGGAGCCACTTAAATGCACACACATATACAACACACATGCATACACAAGTGTGCATGTGTCCTGTACATGTATGTCTATGTGTACATGCCAAGCACTTCATAGGTGTCCACTGGTGTAGACGCCATACTAGGCTTTGGAGATATGCGGCAACAGTGAGAACAATCCTGGTCTTGAAAGCCCTCCAGCATCCCTTCCAGATGCAACCCTTCACTTCTGAAGAGCCCCTTAAATGACCACTTTCCTCTGGGAGCTGCAGCCCCCTTGGTGCTGATTGTCTGACACTGATTGAAGGTAAGCCCTGAAGGAGTGGCACCCTTGCACCAGGAGTTTGGATGGGGCTGAGAAAAGTCTAGGCATAGAGGTCTTCCCTGCAAGGAGTTCTAGGTAAGGGAGTGGGGTGGGCAAGGAAGACCCTCTGGTACTTGTAAGGGAGGAGACCCTTGGGGAGAAGGAGAGGGAGGTTTTCAAAAGATGGCAGGATGGGAAGAAATTGAAATGGACAAGCCACCTCTTTGACCATTTTGCCCAGTACTATGAAGATCAAGTCATTTATGCATAGCTCTCCATGATCCTTGAAAAGGAAGCATTAGGAATCCTGGAAATAATTACAGCCGCACTCTCCTACCAGTGGGCAACTCTTACCCGACAATCCTGTTAGCTGGCTCATTGAGGCCAACATGGCGGCTGGGGCAGCCCCCAAGAGATCTGGAAGCTCTTGAGCTTCCTGGATCCCATCAGGATGACGCCACTGGGTCATTAGGAAACTCTCATCCTAATTATTCTTAACATGGGATAAACTTTCTGCCTTGGGTATCAGATAGTAAAAAGTGGGGCATCTTTCCAGACACTTTCTTGTCTTTGAAAGGGATTAATGAACTGTCTCCAAGCCCTCATTCCCAGCATGTAAGGAAAGAACACTTGCCACCTGTCTAGGGTATGGGTTTCACAGTCACGTTCTCTGAATCAAAGCATCATGACTTGCCTTTCTTTCATGTAAGGGGTGCAGGGGGAGAGAAGAGAAGCCTTGTGGGCACTTAAATGGAATAAGAAAGATGGGAAGCTCTGACTAGCTTTAATTACTTCCCTTTCCAGCCTCACCTTCTGGCCACCTTCTCACTGAATGGCCTTTAAAAAAGTCTTTTGATTAGTCTCTGCCTTAACTTCTTCCTAATTGAAATGGGATGAATTGACTTGGGCAGGTGACAGTAATGGAGTGGTAAAAGCATTAAATTTAAAGTCTAAAGACCTGGATTCAAATTCCACCTCAAACGTTTATTAGATGTATGACTGAGTAAGTCACAATGTATTTTAAAAAGAAAGGTTTGGACTAATGACCCCTACAGGCTCTTCCAGGACTAAAGCCGAGTTCCTAATGTAATAGGATTCTGGAGATTAATATGGTCATTTGTTAAGATGCTTTGAGGTCCTGAGATGAAAAGCTATTCTAAAAGATTAGAAGTATCATTGTAGAAATTGTTCTCCAGTTTCTATTCACTTCAATTTACATCAGTTCCTACAAATCTTCCCAGGTTTCTCTGAAACTGCCCCTTTCATTTTTTTTTTTCTTACAGCATAAAAATATTCCATAATTTTCATGCTACCCCCTGCCATAACAGCAAGGAGATAGGCTCAATATGCAGAATGAGACATGCCTTTCAGACATGGCCAACATATGAACCTGTTTTCCTGGACTATGTGAATTTATTATAAAGGTTTTCTTTTTTCCTTCAGAAAAGGATGGGGGAGCTAGGTGGCACAGTGGATAGAGCACTGGCCCTGAAGTCAGGAGGACTTGAGTTCAGATCTGGCCTCAGACCAAACACTTGACATTTCCTAGATTTGTGACCCTGGACAAGTCACTTAACCCCAATTACCATAAAATAAAGAAAAGGAAAGAACAGGTAGAGGAGGCAAGATGCATTCTTTCTATTTACATTATTTTATCATTGTGTGTATTGTTTTCTTGACTCTGCTTGCTTCATTTTGTATCTGTTCATGTAAGTGTTTCTATGCTTCTCTGGAATCAGATTTGTCATTTCTTGTAGCAAGATCTTTTGTTCTATAAATTGAATTTTATATGAATTCTGTTATTATTTCATCAAGTTCTATAAAATATTCCTTTGATACTTGACTAGAATAACCCTAAAATTGTAGATTAACTTTATTAATATCATCATTTTTATTATTGCCTTGAATATTCCTCCAGCAATTTAAGTTGTTAATGTAATTTCTCCAATGACACTTTGTCATGGAATCTGTAAGGGTTGAGTGCACTTTGGTAAATTGACTCCCAAATATTTTGTGCATTTCATAGTTATTTGGAATAAGATTTCCCTTTCTATTATTGCCTGTTGGATTTTGTTATTAATCAATAGGAATTTAAAAAAAAAATTCTGGGTTTATTTAGTAACCTGCAATGTTGCTGAAGCTCTTAATTATCTTAATGAGTGTTTTTGCCAATTCCTTAGAGTTTTCTAACCCATGATATCACCAGCAAATAGGGAGAGGGAAATGTTCTCTTTGCCTATCTTTACACTTTAAATTCCTTCTGGATTATTTCTAAGGCTCTCAGGAAAGGCAGGGTTTCTGAAAGACAAAGGGTCATTCCCTTCTCTGTCTGGTGCCAGTGTTTGAGCACTTGCAAATGCCTCCTCATCCTCTCTTCCATTCTTCTTTCTCTCTTTGTTTTACAGACCCTCTTCCATCCCACTTCACTCCTAAAAATATTGGTTTAAGAGGAAAGCTGTGTTGCCTGATCTGTAGTGCTCTGTATCCTCAAGCATAGAGCTCAGAATAACTCTCTGCACGGCCAGTACATCTTATATATATATATATATATATATATATATACACATACATATATATATATATATATATATATATATATACACATACATATATATATATATATATATACACATACATATATATATATATATACACATACATATATATATACATATATATACATATATATACATATATATATACATATATATATATATACACATATATATATATATATACATATATACATATATATACATATATATATATATATATATATATACATATATATATATATATATATATATATATATATATATATATATATATATATATATACTTTCTCACCTTGGATGTTGACCACTCCCAAGGACTATAAGTCCCCCTGGGATGGCATAGAGTCCTCAGAATCTTGACCTATGCTTGGTGAAGGTGGTCTCCGAGTCGCCCATTCTCTTCACATGAAATATTGAGGTTCTGTCACCATCTCTAATCTTGGGTACAAGCTCTCCATTGAGGATAAAACCAGCCTGTCATATCCTTCACCTCATTTCCTCCTTTATTCCTGGCCCAGACTCTCTCAGCTCCACAGGCTTTTCAAAAAATCCCCTAAATTACTAGATTTTCTCTGCTCATGATCAAGC